AGTACAAGACAGACAAGACATTGAGCGTGTTTTTCACCATCAAGCATAAACTTAATTTTATATAAAAAAAAGAAAAATGAAAGTGAGTCTTACTGTATTTTCCTAAACTGTTACTCAAGAAAAAACCTATTACATGGCATTTTAAACATTCCCCACACGCAGTTGCTTTTCATGAAAAGAATGCTCAGCTCATTTTTTTTTCCAACCTTGGTTCAAGAAGGCTGGAAAGCTATTTTCTTTGAGGATCTTTACAATATAGCTTTCAGGGCTCTTAAGCTGTGAGTTCATTCAAATGGACAAATTCTGAAGAGCCTCGGAACAGCATTGAGCTTTTATACTGGAACTTTTACAATTTTTTTTTTATTAAATATCACTGCAGCTCTGTTAGCCCCTCAGAGTTGAGCTGTGGTGGAGCATCAAGTTATTGCTCTCTGAGCCTAGAGGGGAGCACACCTTAATACTTCATACAGTCTGAGCAGTTTTGTTCTGAAACAGTTGATTGTCTTATTTGATTATTCATTTCTTCTTTTTTTTAAGTTACAGTTTTTAAAACGATTATTCATTGTAATTGCAAGTTTTGTCACGTCAGTGCTTCCTTAAATATCTGTGGATATCCGTGATAACGGTGTTTGTTGCCTAAGTGACTAAGACCAAGACTCTTGTCTGGCTCTTGTCAGCACAGACAGAAACACCATATCATCATGTCTCAAGTATCAAAGGACTGCTATCAGTAAGCTCCTGTTTGAATATCTCATGATCAGGTCGGGGAGAGTCCTTATCACCAAAACAGATTAAATAACGTAATTTGAAAGGTTTTCGTGGTTCAAAACACATCACAGCAAAATCTTAATGATCATAATAAAAACATCTAAGTTTAATATAAGATACCAGAATGCACTTAAAAGCACGTTTACTGACGACCTGCCCTCAGCTCTCATGAACACTTGAAGTTCCTTAAAACTATTTTTTTCAACTGGTTTTACATTTCTCACACTTACACTGATGTGACTTTGTTTCTCTCATACTTGATAGATTTGGAGATGTTCTGACACAGTCGTCTATCCGTCACAGTTTGTCTCTTTCAAACGCCAAAATCCCTATACTTGCCAATTTTTCCTGCGACTAACACATCAACTTGAAGACAAAATCTTCTTAATACATCCCCTACTAGCAGGTGCCACGATGAAAAGATAATCAGTGTTATTCAGTTAACCTCTCAGTAGCCATTATGCCTAATCAGTGTAACTGCTTGAATTGGGTTAATTTGCCAATAAAGAAGTTCAGCAAAAGTAATAATGAGTCTGGTGTGATTTATGGGTGTTCAAAGCCTGAGTTAAGGGTTTTGTCCGCCTAGATTTGAATGCAGCCATAAATAGACAATAGGTTGGTTTCAGGAAGTAAGCATAACTGAATTTTTACCAACAAATTAAACTTACATCAACGGTTTCTGTTATTCAAATCGAAAACTCTTTATTATTAACAGCTTGTAAACTGCAATGCCAACTACAGTTACCATATTTGTGAATAATTTATTCAAATGTATATCTCATTTTGGAGTGATTCAATGGCCACTCCTAATCATGCATTCATGCAATGGTTGATTTTGAACACGTCAAGCATTTTATCTGGGTCACATCTAGAGTATGGCCAGTTTAGAATCACCAGTTCATCTAAAATGCATATTTTTGAAATGCGGGAGCAAAACACATTATATTTCTAATAAATGCTAAAGGCATAAAATTGTGGACATGCAAAAGCTTTCCCTTTATTCTTTCTTAGAGATACAGTACAATTTTTCCATTTCTTTTCTTTGTTTTTCTTGATAGAAGCATTATGATGATAGTCAGACACGTGAAAAAATTTGATTCATGCTTGGTTCCCTATTGTCTCTTGGAGCTGCTGTTTGTGGAAAACATCACTTTTATGTTAAATGAAATAGAAGAGGCTACATGGAGTAAGAAAACATTACACACAGGGGTTACTTTGATTGCTGTAATGCATGGATAATTTCAAGCCAAATAACTATGCAGAAAAATAATGACAAAAGCAAAATACCAGACAGTCTGGTGCATGTTGGGGCTTACGCTATGTTCTATTAAATGTTGGAAAGCATAAATTCCCTGCTGCTATCGTGTAATTACAGTATTAGTATGTTACAGGAGTTTAGCTCAGATATGAGAAAACAAATGAGTGAAGCATTTTCTGCTTGTGAGATTTCATCTAACTAGCAAATATGTATTCTTTCCATGCAATGTTACCTTGTGTCAGAGTTAGAGTGTTTTTGCAAGGTCCAATCATCTACTGATCTACTCTTTCTACCAGTGCAATCCTTATATAAGTAAAGCAATGCTAAGATTCATATATTGAGTAATTTATCACACATTATTGTTCGGTTGCATAGCTAAAAGTACTCCATTGTTAATTTTTTAAGCTGCCTTAAGCTTAAAAAGCTTTAAGTGGTGCAAAACTTGTTGAATAAAAGTATTTAGTTTTTATCCTTCTGCTGTTCTAGCAGAAAGAAGTAGCTGAGACTTCTAGCATAAAAGCATCACTGCCATCTAAATGTGGGGAAAACTCATGCTTTCATCATGTGAAACAGATGCACACACACGCATACTACAACGTGTTTGTGTGTTGGGGTCAAAGCTGCAAACTACACTAAGTACAAAGCACCTAAAGGATCTGGAGTTTGAGGCTTATATTTCAGGTTGGAGTAAGACATAAACCCTGCAAATTACAACAGACTACAAACCACGGGGAGAAACACCTGAGATATCAGGCTTTGATGCTGTGTCTTCCCCACTGCATCAAACATCAATGCATGAGAACAAATCTAAAGCCTAGAAGAGATCGTAAATCCAGAAATGTTCTTCTTATCACTACTGACTATTGCACATATTGCTGCATTTCTAAAATAAGTCAAACAATGGCTCATCCTCACAGGAAAAACAATGCTGGACACTGGTTGCTTTTTCACTTATTTTCAAACTCGTCAGTCAGTATCTGACCATTTTATTTGTTAAGCCACTTAACACTGACCTATCAATCATTTCAGTATAATAAAAGACACCTAACTCAAGGTCTTAACCAGTGTGATGTTTACACTTAACAGAAAACTCTCATATTGGCTAAATGAATATTCTGAATTCAGACTCCATACACTGAAGGGATATTTTAAAAGGTTTAATGGGAAACAACAAGTTATTTACCGAGGACGGGAGCAGAGCTTGAGTTATGCTTAACTCAGTGATGGGCTGCTGGAAGTCCCGTGGAGGAAAAGAGAGGGTAATATAAGGATGACATTAATGAGAACAATCTTACTTGTGAATGGGACTGGTTGGATCCAGGAAGGGGTTTTCTGAGGGCAGGTGGAATCCAGAGGCTAAGAGTGCCTGTGGTGAGTGTGTAGGCGGGTGAGTGTTCCAGGTGAGTCCTTCTCTTTCAGGTACCCACAAAATTGAAGCTGAAGGCAGTGCAGAACTCCTCAGAGCAGCAAACAGAGGAGTGGAGTAGGAATCCAAATGAGGGAAGAAATCACTAAAACAGATGGAGCAACAATATTAATTCTCAGGGAATTCAAATCTTTGGTGCAGAGAACCTGATTACTGCTGCTGAGGTGAAGACGATCTGGTGGAGATCTGCTGTCCGTCCAACCTTAAAATACTGCATGGTTGATTGCATAACATAAATATAAAAGAATGACTCAAGACTTTTGCACAGCACTGTATGTCATTATAAATCTCACAATATTGAAGTTCAGGGATGCAGTAGGTGTAAAAATGTATTTCTTACGCCTCTGATATGGAACTATTCCTGCAATGAGTGTTTCTCATCATGTAGTCATGTTAAAAATGTTGTTGTAATTTTGTTATTATATATGTGTGTATATATTCATAGAATAGAAATATTCCTAACTGGTAAATTCCAAACAATTTGTGTGTTTTTATTGATTATTTTTTCAATTGATTGAATATGATTTAATTTATCTCCTGCGCTCATGAAGTTTTGAGGGCTTGAAAATACTAGAAAAATAACCCAATTTAATAGACTCAAAGTTAATCAGAATTGTTATTAAATAAAAGTATTTGTGGGTGATTACAGATCATTGTGAGCAGCTCAGGTGGGAGGCGTGGACTGATTTATTTCATGCAATGAAACTGTGGTTTTGGAAATTGGCAGTCAGTTCAATGGCAATAGTTTCTTCAAGTGTTCTCGCACTATCACTATAGCTGTGTGAATTTAGTTCATTTGCCAGTAAAGAAGTGCTGCAAAAGTAGGAAGGAGACTGACATTGATTGTGGGTGTACCGTGTAAGGGTTTTGTCATAGGACAGATTTGGATTTAGACAAATAGATAAATTATAAAATAAGCTACATAAAGTTAATACTGAGCAATAACTAAACAACTTACCAACAAATGAAACTAGTAATATTATGATTCTACTATTCAAATCAAAAATGTTTTCTTGATAGCAGCACCAAGAGTAGCTGTCAGTAACTTTAATGATATCAATGTCCTGTTTAGGTGACCTTTAAAATGAGTGATCATACATAAAATGAAGAAGTCATAGTGTAACAATATCTAGCTTTGTTTTGGAATGATTCTTTTAAAAAATGAATTGGAAATGTCGCATTTAAGCCCCTTTTCCATTAGTACCTACTGGGATCAACTCACCATGGTTCGCCACGGTTTTCCATTAGGTCATACTACCTGGTATCAGGTACTTTTTTTAGCACCTGCTTGTCTGGGATTCCGAGCAATCTGAGCAGGTAACAAAATGTGACATCGTCACACTGCATGCCACTGATTGGCTGTTCAGTCGTGTCTCTTGAGAGCATAAAAATCAAAAGTGACATTTTTGAAACGTGATAACAGAATAAATAATGTTAGTAACCCCTATCACAAATCTGATAAACTCATTATAAATGGCACTATATTAGTTATTACAGCACCATTTAGAAAGCCAAAAAGCATCTATGTACACAAGAACACCACGTACAGACCACACATAAAAATGTATTTTATTTAGTGTATTAACAAATCGTATTATACATTTTATAGACAGTGTTTTTGTAACTTTTGCTTCACAAACGACAGCATTATAAAAATAAGAGCACATGTAACATATATTGTGAACATGATACATTGTTTGTCAGCAAGTCCGGAGTAATACAGCATTTATTTATTCACTTCGTTTATGGCAATGACTATTTTCTTACAAAAATGTGAAGTAGAGCTTAAAAAAATGAGTGATTTTATCATGATATGAAAAGCAAAAAGAACACGGTGCCCATAATTTTCCAGCCAAAGAAGGCGGACTGTGATATTAAAACAATTACTTATGTTGGGCTTTTTTTTTTTAGAAAGCAAATGTAGCGAGGAACATGCTGGTGTTGAAATGAAATGAGTGAGGTGACTACATTGCTTGGGTAATATTTTATCAGCAAAAGCCTTTTGTTTACGTATGTGAGCAATTCAGATTTGTGCAATCTACAAACATCAGCACGCTGGCAAAATATCAGTGATGGCAAATATTGAAATTCATATTAATAACTATTAAAGTTATTGTTTTCATCAGGAGAGAAAAAAAAATCCAACAATGAGGCAAGTATGGTGAAATCCTCCTTATTTCTAAGACGTAATACAAATTTATACCAAAAGCTGACATAAGAATCTCAAATGCACTCTTGAGACCCATGACAACAAATAACATGTCCCCCAAATGTCCGTTGCACTGCTCCAGAATTGCTCTTTACTATCGTCAGAGTTGTGTGGTGACTGCTCTTCCATCTGTGCGCCTGGCCACCTGCCCACTTCTTAGCTACATAATTTGGTTGTTTCATATTCCATCGAATTTGGCTGCTTGGCACTGAAAGTCTGCAACGCTGCCTGGATCCTGGCAACATCTGTAGTGGACAGTTTGAGTCGGTGCCGCAGCAGACAGGAGAACAGGTCCAGGGGCTGAGCTCCTGGTGGGGAAAGCCTGTTGACCCGATCCCGGATCTCCAGCAGCTGCAGCAGGGCTGAGTCCTGCGATCCCTGAGTATATGGGTAGTCCAGCTGTAAAATCAAGTCCTGGATCGCTTCCGGGTCAAAGTGCATACTATAGCCGTACACCTGGATGCTGTTGATCTTCATGTAGCCTAGATTCCGTCCCGATTCCAGGTACTCCAAGGGTTCATAATATACAGTTCCATTCCCGTTACTTGAGGTGCCCCTGATCCGGCTCCGTAGATAAAAATGCACTGTCTCAAAAAATGTTTTCCACTTGTTGCCTAAAGTCAGAGTCCAATTATAACAGTCATAAGGAAGGTCTAATTTAGTCCTCTCCCAGTCTGGATAGTTCTTCTGCTCAATGGGCATGATCCAGCTCTCTGAGTGGCTCCCGCCAAACGGATTGATATAAACAGACAACATGGGGTCCAGAGTGATGTTCTTGGTAAGGCAGATCTGTAGAGACATCCCCAGGAGCATGTGGACATGGTTTGACTTGTATTTGTTACTTTTCAGTGTCAGCAGCATTCTCTTCCTCCACGATGGGTCAAACCAATTATTCAGCCTGACGTCGTTGCTTACGAAGATGCCGTGAATGCTGATGCGGTTGTCACGTTTCTGGAGAAGATAGCGCAGCTCCATGTCCTGCAGGTCAGTCTCAAAGCCTATGTAGTGGTCAGTGGAATCTGGCACTTCGTTGCGGCACACCCCCTGGCTCAGCATGTAACCCTGGTTGCAGGTGGCGCAGCGGGAGCGATTCTCATAGGAGCACGACGCACAGGAGGTGCCCTCCCCCACTGTGCATGGGATCAAGCCCTGGCAGGGAGGATGCTCATAAGGGCAGGAGCAGCTCCGGGTTTCCTCCAGGTAAGAGCCGATGTGATTGTTTTCGCTGCAGTACATGATGGAGAGGATGTAGTTCAGCCAGTAGCTAAAGGGCCTGCGACAGAGACGGAGCAGTGGGTAAGATTCATTGCTGATGCAGAGTACATAACACAAGAATCACATGGCTTCAAACATTAATCTCATTGTTTCTAAACCGAACAACAAAAAAATCTATATTTTGATGACAAACTCAATGCTTCTCTGTATGGAGAAAACCTGTGAGCCACTTAGTTTGATAGTGATCATCACGTATACTTTTCATCAATGTGAAGTCTCACAATCCCATTTACTGTCTTCGGTCACATCTCTTTTCCCTTTCGGGTCATTATGCTTACATCAGGTGCTTTCTCTTTTGTTGGGTGTTGAGTTTCTACTTTATTGTCAAATATAATATTTATAAAATGTTCCTGATTGTTCACATCAGCAGGTAAGCTGAGTAATTATTAGACGGTCATATAACTTTGAGTAATTTGACATTTCATTAAGAATAAACACTGTATTTAAATTTTTAAGAATTATAGTGCATACTTTCTTTCTTTGTGGAAGCTGTTACATTGTAAAATCTATAAACAAAAACAGAGATGACTCAGGATAGAAAAAGCGCTTTTCCCCTCACATACTTAAAAAATATAAACAATACAAAAAACACTTTTTGCATGTATTTCTTTTCAGATCTTTGCCTATAAATAAGAGATGCAGTGGATATAGATGGGAAGTTGAACAATAAATATGTGGGCATGAAATGAAAATATGGCTATGGATATAGCAGTTATGCGGTACTTCACAATTATGAAGCCATGAAATGTAAATGTCAAAGTCCCTCTGTCTTCTCCTGCTCTATATGATTCGTTAATGACACATGAAAATATGTTAAATGTAATTTAGAGCAACCAACTCTTGCACTGTAAGGAGTAAAACTGAGTCATTACTTTAACTAACAGATTGAAACTATGAGTTTCATATGCATGGTTAAGTGCTTTCTGAAGAAACACAGCTAAGTTAAATTTGTCTGCTTCCTGACTAGACTCTGTAGGGGAGGGAAGGTGCATTATGGGGGAGATCAACAGTCATATATCATTCTATATCACATCATAATCTCAAGAGACCAACGCCTGCTACGCAAGTCCCACATTTAAGCGATTCATTCAAATCCTTCGATGTTTTCATGAAATCCCTGTAGAAAAGATTTCCTGTTCACTTATCCAGTCTAAAACGCATCCTACTATAGATGGATCACTTGTCGTTTCACTACAAATATACAAGGTCAAAAAAGATGAGTTAGAAATACACCCATTTTATATTTAGTGCTAAGAAAACGAGCTAATTGGGTAATTGGAAAGTCTCCCTCTGTAAAATAAGCTAATGCTAATTAGGTTACAATTTTTATGTTGTTTACTTTGAGCAGAGCTGAAAATACTAAAAAGATACACTCTTGTTAAAAGCATAAACAACCAAAGCAACCACAAAATACAGAAATGTAATCAAAACATAGCTTCAGCTTTGGCATCACAAAATTTCCAATAAAACAAAATTAGGTTTAATAAGAGGCTGATAAAGATCACATTAGGAAAATACATCATTTATTTAAGTTGGAAACGTGCAGAGTCTAGTCTAGCCCTATGCATATCTAGAACCATACATATAGTATATGATTAGCAAAATGCTCTATTTATTCCAAGCCACAAACTATATCGGTGAAGCAATATACCGAAATTGTTTCTGAATGAAAGAGCAGATGGAATGCATGACAGGAACATAATGTGGTAAATTAGTCTGTCGCTTGCTATGTTCCACATCTGTCAGATTTTTTAATCCACTTTTGTTCTTTAGCAGAGTGGCTGTTCTGTTGCTGTAGCCGTGTGCAGCTGGTAAATTAATTTAAGGGAAACAAAAGTGCATGTATAAGTAATTTACATCTAAAAAACATAATTTTGAAGGGAAACATACCGTTTGTTCAAACAGTTGTTAGACTAAAGAAATTAAACTGCACTGTGTGTGTGCTGGTGAGTGTGTGTATCACTGGGAATTTGATCCCATGATAAATAGTAGCGTTAGCCCTGCATCAGACTGGCCAGGCTGTAGCCCGCCTCTCGCCCTGGGATAGCTGGGATAGGCTCTAGACCCCCTGCGACAATGATAAGGATAAGGAGAAGAGGATGGACAGATAGATTGAATCGTATCTGTTATTAATCTCTGTCTCTCTTCCACAGCATGTCTTTCATCCTGTCTTCCTTCTCTCACCCCAACCGGTCGCAGCAGATGGCCGCCCCTCCCTGAGCCTGGTTCTGCCGGAGGTTTCTTCCTGTTAAAAGGGAGTTTTTCCTTCCCACTGTCGCCAAAGTGCTGCTCATAGGGGGTCATATGATTGTTGGGTTTTTCTCTGTATCTATGAAGCGCCTTGAGGCGACTTTTGTTGTGATTTGGCGCTATATAAATAAAATTGAATTGAATTGAATTGAATTGAATTGAATAGATGAATAAATGTTAGATGTAATTCCTAAATCTGGCTTTTTTACCCTTTTCCACAAATTATTTTAGCTTCTCAATGTTTAGTACATTGACTGGAAAAGCATTTGATATATTCCTATATCGACACAAATACTATGAAAGTGATAAACTGCAGTGGATGGAGATTGCATGTGGGTGTACCCAACAAATAAATGCAGTAAATATATGCAAAACATTTTTAAAGAACATTTTGATATTTTGAATATGAAGCAATTGATTATAAAAAAAGAGGCTATAATACATGTAATATTCTACTGAGTCATTTTTTAAACCAGCTATCAAACTGGATACGATCGAGTTGTGTTTGAACTCACACAACATATTTAAATGGATTTCATCTACACAGTCCTGCATCTCTAGATTCTAGTTGGGCTGGAAAAATACACACAAATGGTGAAGCTAAGCAAAGTGATGATAAGGGTGAAACTGTGTACTAAACAGCTGGATAAACTAACATACTGCTGCTGCAGACTTCACAGTTATATGAAAAAAATGGAAACACATGATTGTGAGTTCGCTGATATTGTCAGTTCTGTGCAAAAAGCAATATATTCAAATGTGTTTTTTCCACTTTAATTGAGAAAACAATTATTTAAAAAGAAACATGGCTTAGAACACCTTCCAGTGGTAAAAATAACTAAATATATAAACTTGTGATTGCGTTTTCTTTTCTTTTCTTTTCCTTTCTTTTTGTTTTCCAGCTCTATAATTTGTTCCCTCCAGTGTACTGTACTTTTACTCACTAATGATGCATATCTTAGGCATGAAAAAATAATTATCATGCAGAGCTAAAGTCTATAGAAGGCTTCTGGTGTTTCTTAGTTTCGAGACCATTTTTTTGTTCTTCTTTTATAAGTGCTTTGAACCGGCAAGCCCCCTCTAGTATTCCAGCATCACAGTGAGCGCAGTCAGTGTGATGTGGAGAAAAACAGAAAGGAGCAAAAGACTTTTTCTTTTTCCTCAAATCAAATTTTAAATCTGGTGACATTTTGTCAAAAGATAGTCGATGTAATGCGTTAACAGTCTTAACGGCACCCAGCTTGTCTGAAACTCATCAGCGAGAGTCAGTTGTGCATATCTCACCTCCAGAGTGGAGACTGTGCACAGCAAGAGAGAGGAAGCTGTCTCGCCATCATAAGCACATTTTGTCAGCAGGACATGTAAACTGTCATGGAGACGCAGTGTGCAGTATGGGCAAAAGAGAAGCCGGGTGTTCACTCTGCAATCTGTTCATTGTCTGTCAGTTCATTTCACACAGATCAATGCCACAAACGAACTTTCTCCTTCTGCCACAGAGTACATTTTGACTAGTGAAGAAAACTTCTCCTCTGCACTAGATATACTTAATTTTTCCATTACAAGCCACATTTATTTACTTAGGCTGCTTTTTCTGTGCTTCCAATCAGTTGTTTTTGTGCAGCTCCATCACGGCTGCCCTGACACCTCTTGTATTCACAGAAAAAAAAAAAAAAATACTGTACATAGTTCCAAAGACTGCGCTAGAAAGTTACAAAAGAAACTCCAAAATGGATTTACAATGTAACAGCCTACATTTTTTTTTTATGTTTGCTTTGTCTTCATCTCACAAAGACCGTGAAGCTTTGGAACATGAATAATGGCTACAGAGACGTACAAATATTCCATATGAAAAACAAATCCTCCGTGAGCTGGGCCATTATGTACAGGGCGGTATGATATGTAAGGTAAATGGGGATAAAATCTTTGTATATTCTTGCTATATATATATATAACTTTATTCATCTCAGCTCAAAACACTGCAAGTCGCCTATTTCATCATTGTAATTTAGCTGTTTGCAAGCTTTTATACACAGATGGTAACATTTACTAAACCTGTCACCATTTTCCATCAGGGATGAACATTTTGCATCTCTTTAATTTTTTTTCACAGCACAGATATTACTAAGAATATAGCTGTAAATGACCTCGGTCGCACCTAATTTGCATAAATTGCTACTAAGGAACATCTGATTCTGCAGGATTATGATGCTATATGAGGAAACGGTGCTTAGGACTGGAGCTGAAAGCCATTAAAAATCAAGTTAATATGATATGAGGGACCATCTGGAAACAGAAATGCAAAATCATGCGAAAAAATAACCATTTGTCGTTGTATTGAATCTTTTGTAGTATGACTAGTGCAAGACTGAGAGCTCAGCCAAAGTGATTTTGACCAATCTTTTAATCTGCCTTTATCGCTCCTATACATTTCCCCTTAAATATCAGAAATACACTTTTCCCTATAGCGATGGTCAATCTATAATGGTAATAACCTGAATACATTTCTATTCCCTTATAAGATCTTTGCAAATAGGTGTCAGTATACCTCATTTGGTTGTATAGAAAACCCATATACTAAAGGGGTGCAGTACCTTGAGTTTAAGTCTGCAAATAAAAATTTGGATTTCCTAAATATACTACTTCAGGTGAACTAAACAATTTTTGTGTTCTATTTTTAGGAAACAAAACCTTTTCTTTACCTTGCTTAAAAATGTAAGCAAACACAACTGTGCTTGCAGCAACTCCGAATTTAACACTGCATATATGTACAGTGCTGTGAAAAGGTATTTGCCCTCTCCTTGATCTCTTAGTTTTTTGCATATTTGTTACACTTCAATGTAAAATAGTAATTGCCCCCTAAACCTAATAGCTGCTTGCGTCACCCTTTGTAGCAAGAACTATATCCAAGCTTTTGCAATAACTGGCAATGAGTCTTTCACATCACCACTTTGCTTTGTAGAATTGTTTTAATTCAGGCTCATTGGAGAGCTGAATTAAACAGCCTGTCTAAGGTGATGCTAAAGCAGCTCAATCTGATTTAAACACAGACCTTAACAGGCCATTGCAAAATATTCATTTGTTTTTTTTTTTTTAACCATCCAGGTGGAGTTGTTGGAGTCTTTCGGCTCATTGTCCATAACCCAAGTGTCCTTGAGCTTAAGGTCATGAACTGACAGATGGGCTTTCTTTTTTAGATTTTTCTAGTAGAATTCATGGTTGCATCCATTTCACCCATCAAGCCATCCATTTCAAGTTGTCCAGCTGCTGAAACAGCAAAGCAGCCCAGACCATCATACTACCGCAACCATGTTTGACTGATGGTATGATCTTTCTATGATGCTATGTTTGTTTTTGCCAGATGTAACAGGACTCAAACCTTGCAAAGTTTCACTCTTGCCCTGTCACTCCATAGAATATTATCCTAAAAGTCTTGGGGATCATTGATATGGTTTTTGACAAATGTGAGATGAGCCTTTGTGTCCTTTAAGGTCAGCAGTGGTCTTTGGAAATCTCCCATGGCTGCACTCCTGGAGTAATTTTAGTAGCCACTCCTGGGAATGTTCACCAATTTTCAGTTTTCTCCATTTTCTTAATGTCTCTTCATTGTGGTTCACTGGAATCTCAAAACCTTAGAAATGGTTTTGTAACCCTATTCGTAGATGTCAATGACTTTGTTTTTCATCTGTTCTTGAGCTTCTTCAGACGCGAGTATAACGTATTTCTACAGGTTCATTTTTTAGGGATTTCTTGATTTAGTGTGTCTGGCAGTAATCAGGTCTGCATGTGGCTAATAAAATAGAATCCAGCTTTCCAAAAAATGTGATTAATCACAGTTAATTTAGGTGGGTTTGGAAAGCATTTTCTCCTTAATAAATGAAATCTCCATTTAAAAAATCTGCAAGTAAAAAATCAGGTATGAGCCAAATACATGACTTACAACACTGTATGTTCCCATAGATCTTATAGGTAAATATGTACAGTTTGAACAGAGATATATTCCCTCATTATAGAGGAAATGAAGGTGGGGGCAATTGGAGATTCGAGCTCTATATTTAAAAAAAATCACATTGCAGAGGATGAATATTTGGTTTCTCACCTGAAATAGCTCCTAAAATAAACCTGGGTACTTCAGCTGCACTGACATAATCACATTTCTTTTTCATAAGCTTTTGTTGCAGACTATACGGCTGAACTTGGAGAAAACTTGTGGAGAAAAACACAAAAATAGATGGAATGATCAACAGAAGATCCACGGCAGATTTTCTTTAGTATATGATTTCATTGCAGTCAAGTTAACCAACAGGAAAAATGGCCCAAACTTTGCATATTCCTTTGAAACACTGCAAACTTTAATTTCACAGGAGGATAACTTTGATTTCCTGAATGTAAAGGAGACCCGGGCTGGGAGTGCAGCCAAGTCATCAGGTGTGACACTATAGCTCACTTCAGCGAGACCTCGGTTGAATATCAAAGTGCTAATGTATTGTGTGTATTATTAGCATAATGCCTAGTTCAGGGGATAACAAAGCACTGCGCACAGAGCGGGCTGAGGAAAATAAATGAGCACTGCCGTTTGCAACGTGCTTGAAAGGACTTGCAATGTGGCTGCAGGCTTTGGAATTTTTGCTTATTTTTTCACACTCATGCACGCAAACACACAGCCTAACACATCTGTATCCACAGAAAGGTCAGCAGGAATACTTATATTTCTCACCTCTCTCTCAGCATAATAATTTTGGGCTGAGTTTGACACCTTTTGCTGAGGGTGAAGAGCTTGTTGATAATGCGTCGTGCTTTGCTCAGGAGCTGCTGGGTGCTGAGCTCCAGCTGTTTGTAGCGCTGGAGAATGGTTGGCTCCGTTTTCCAGAAATATTGAATGGCCGATGCGTTCAGAGCATAGAAGGTAGGAAGCCTTCGAACAAAGTTCTGGAACTCATCTGAAAGACAGAGGACAGGCAAGATAGTTTAGTCTGTGTTGGAAAAGAAGTGGATGGTTCCTGTCTGACTTTGCCTAACTGACTTGAATGCTTTCTCACTATATTTGGCTAATTTAGTCAAGCCAAAATGAGAAAATCAGTTCGCAGAGTCCTCGTAGACTGAAGAGCTGTGGGGCAAACTGGAAGTGATATTGTTTGAAGCATAGGCTAATAGAAAAAGGCAGAGCTAAATACGGTGATGGGGTAAGATTCATTAATGAATAGCATACAGATTTTCTGCAGCAAGTCTGTCAGGGGGAAATCAGGATGGGCATGGAGCACAGAGGATAACATCTGTCAGCCCTTCAGAAATACTGTTTGCCTCGTGTGCTAACAGATTACATTTCAATAACAATATCATCACAATCATGATTGGATGTATGGAAAATCGAAAACATGCTCACTTCTGATTAGAAAAAGACCGTGCTGTTTGTCTGGATAATAAAGCATCAATTTGGGAAACCAATTAAGCCCCAACGCCTTTCCTGCTGATTATGCAAAAAGCTTTACATGTTCCTGTGAAATTAATAAGCTGAGTGTTTTCTATGACCTGTATTTTGAAAACTAAAGAAAAATCACATGGCCACCATTATTATTTTTTCTTTCTTCTAATCACACATTTAGCAGATTGTGTGATATATTAATTTGTCTTAACTAAAATTAGTTTAAAAGATAAGACCATTACTGGCGTCCAATGAGATGACATAATCCAAGAATGAGTCTGTCTTTTAAAACATCCCATGCGTGTCTTCATCGTAATAACCATCACTGTGATTTACATTTTGAATAACAACAGGATTCTGCGTCAAAGAAGAAGAATATATCTCAGCTTACATAAATATTTTAGCATTGCGCTTAACTTATTGAAACATTAAAACATCAGTCATGCAAACATGCAATAAAAACAAGCTTAGTAGCAAAATGCAAATCTGACAAGACAAAGCAAGTTTAAGTGACACTGGCTGTTAAAGGATGTCATGTAAAAATAAAAATACATCCCAAAAAAGACTGGCTAATGTCAGCTAAAACAACTAAAATACGATATTGTCAGATCATTGTCCAGTTATAGAAAAAAAGAAGGAGAAAAAAAACACAATCCATAAAAGTAGCATAAGAAAATAATTTTTCATTCATGAGGATATTGTTTGTTACATGTTTCAGTATGTGTGAAATATATATAACATTGGTGTCAGCGTTAACGCGGCAAATCTCCGTTGGCGAGTTAACACGGATCGCCCCGTGCATGGGGCTGCACGGCACTAACGTTTTAACGAGCTAACTGCGCTAACGCATTGACGCTGTGCAGCCCCACGCACGGGGCGGTCCGCGCTAATTATCTAACTGAGATTTGCTGCGTTATTGCGGTTCTGGTGTTAACATCATTTTAACAAGATTAACACTGACAGCACTAATATATAATATTAATGTAGACTGGCTATGCACACACTGTATAGAAGGATTACTATAAATATTATATTTCCCAATAAATCTAAATTTCCCAACTATTTTAACTAATACGATTTATTATTCTGGAAGACAAAAGGGGTTTAAGTGGTTGACTATGAAAATTAAAAACCAGGGTAATATAAATGTGTTTTTTTTTTCAGACTGAAATGTGTTCAGTCTGAAAAAAATAACTGTGGGAGTGGCTCAATAGCCACGTGTTTAGCTATTACATTGATACAAATGCCTCTAGCATTGAGTGGCTGGTTCTTTACTGAATCTTATTCCCCCTCCTCACATTTCCTGCCTCCTTCCACTGTCTAATAAAATGCCCAAAAGTGATTTTAAAAAAAAAGGAGCAGTAAATTGCTGATCCTTCAGCCACATTATCAAGATTACACATCGTGCAGTAACAGCTGGATTTTTTTGTCTCTAGCGTCCAACTAAAGTCTAACCTTTCCAATTAAGAGTTAATATTACTCACTTTTATTAAGGCCTACAAGTACCTGTGTTATAGATGCTAAATTTACAAGAGGAATATTGTGAGGATATAATAAGTAATCAATACTCAGACTATCATTCTTGCTTTTATTTTCTCTTGGTTACAATATTGCAATGGTATTTTATGGGAACCGAGAAAAGTGAACCTATTTTATAGAGTCCATGACCCTATACAGGTTGCTCATTACCCATAGAGCGGATTTTAACATTTTACTTATTAGTTTTAAAGTCCTTCATGCCCTGGCCCCATAATAAACAGTACTATAAGTATTGAGCCATTCCTCCTTTCTCTATTTCTTGCTAGAAATGTATTGAAATGTGCAATCATACATGAAGATACAATATATTCAGTAAAAAATATTATTTCTTTAAGTAGTCCTCAGAGATAGCTGTAGAAGATTCTTGAATAACATTCCAAAGCTCTTCTCTGGATGTTGGCTTCCTCCTGCTCACATGATGACAACAGTTTGAACCAAAGACTTCAAACTTGGATTCAAGTTTGAAATCTTTTTCAAGATACTCTGCAAGACTTGGCCACTGATTCTCAGTCCATGTTCTTGTGTAATCTGGGATACCTCAGACCCCTTTTTCCTATTTCCCTTCCTTCAAAATGGCTTCTTGTGAAATCATCTAAGTTGCCCAACAAGAAAACTGAAGGGGAGGCTGGAATGGCGCCAAAACCTCTGAACAGGTGGATGTAATTGTCAGGTATATTGCCCTGACAGTGTGAGCAGCTGTTAGACGACGCAAAACCCAACGTGAACATCCGTTGACCCATTTGGTGCACTCTATGCAGGATTTTGTATTGTATTAATTGTAGACTGGGGTTTCTAGTCATTTTAACAGAGAGTTTTCCTGCATATTTTAGTTTGCAGTATTCAGTAATTTGGGGGTTTTGAGATTGAGGAATTGCACCACACTTAATGGTGTTTGTAGTTTGACTTGATAAGGCTTAACTTTCTTTTTTTATTATAGATTTAATTTGTTGATATTCTAAAAATCTATTCTCGTTAATCCCATGTTGTAAAACTAATCTGTCAAATAGAATAGTCTATTCTTTCAAATAGATGTACCAAGTATTTAATTCCTTTGCAACTCCAATCTGGGAAGTTTATCATATTGTTGTTTTGTAGGATATTAGGGTTGTTCCAGATGGGTGTACATTTACATTATAGTGAAGACTCATTTTTAGAAATTCTTGACAGCCATCCTTCCATTGAAAGCATTGCTGTTGAGGCTTTGGTGAACAGTAGATGGAACTTAGATTATCTTTATCTAGTATTAAAGCTTGTTTGAAAGCGTTGAGTGTCACAAACATGGTAAAAATCAGAAAGTAAGATGGGGGCAAATACTTTTTCACAGCATTGTATGGCAGGTTTTAAGCTAATATCTCTTTGCTGGTGTAAAAACACTATTTGATGCCAGTCAGACTGTGTTATTGTTGCTATTTTTTCTAGATTCAACTAAAAAAATGGAAACAATTTATGGTACTTAATGTACCTGATGATGTAGTTTTAAATTTGTTCTCTATCTTGTATCTATGTGTTGGCACAACATTGGTTTATCCCTTGAGTTAAGCGCTGTTTAAATTTTTAAATGATTAATCGGTCTGTGTTATGTGAGTTAATAATTTAAAAAAAATGGTCAGGTACAAGGACTAGTCTTGAAAATGAGTGAAAAAGCAGCAAATGCCCAAAGAAAAACTTTGAAAGACCTTCAGAAAGCTTGGAGAACTATGTCTCAAGACTACTTAGAAGAAAAATTTAAAAAAGTCTGGTTCCTTGGAAGCAAATGATAGGGCGTGAGCTCACAGTACTACACACTGTACTACTTGCACAGTAATAGCTCAGCCTCAAATCCTCAGGCAGAAACCTGTTAAAAATTTCTATGTCAGTCTTAAACACAAAATGCAATCGAGCATTTGCTCTTAGGACTCCTTGTTTGTGGAATGGTCTGGCTCGCTTTGTCAGTGTCTTCTTTTAAATCACAGATCAAGACTCACTCCTGTTGCAGTGCTTTTTGTATTTTTTTAAATTATTTTGTATCCTTAACATTATTGGCATACTTCCATCTTATTTCTATTTATGTTCATTCCTTACAATGGATTCACATTGTATCTTGTTCTTATTTTGACATTGAACCTTGAGTTTTGACCTGTTTTAGTGGATATGTAAATTGTTTTTGTATTTTCTTCCCAGTAAGTTTGCTGACCCTGTGTTTCTGGGAGGAGTAGCAGATTTGACTTGAAAAATGGGCAAAACAATAGGTACATTCACTTCTTCTTATTATTATTGATTATTTTATACTGTCATTTGGCTCCTTAAGTAGGAAATATATAGAATATAGGTGTACTTACAGGCTAAAAAACAATACTGATTAATTAAATATAGTTAGCATCATGGCAAAATCATAATGTTGAATAACCATGAGAAGGTGGGAATGGCAAGTAACTTCTTAACTACACTATTATTTTATCACCAAGGCAACAATGCCTCATCCCTGGAAACTTGCGCTCTAATGACCATTATTATCTTGTCAGCTGCTGAACCCAGGAAGGTAACGGCATTTTCCTTTTGTACAATTTTAAAAATAGAAGACACTGTCAGATTTTCAGGAACACAAGTACAGACACAGTGTGGGTCTTATCAAAAATAACACAAGGAGGTTGAAGGGTAACGACGCGTGTAAGGAGGCTTATTTGGCAGGGTTTTCTTAAATTACTTAATTATGAGGTTATAATTAATAATTTATGCGTCTTAGTAGTCCGGTAACTTTAAGCATGTATTTGACTTACTGCAACATATCGCAGTTTATTTAGACTAAAGCCTCTTGGAACTCTCTTGGATATGAAGTGCACTCTCTTATTTATGCTCCCCTGAGTCTAGTTTTTCACACTGTTTCAATGCTCTGTTATGACTATGGTGTGTCTTAGCCAAACACTGAGATAGGATACTGATCCAGGTATAAAAGATATGATGTCTTAATTATTAAACAGTTACCACTCAGTGGAAGGTGGGACTTAAAACAAATCATGTCCACCATCCTCTGATGGTAGGAAGCTCATTTAACAATAAGAGTTATGATTATTAATCTCTCTGCTGCTGGTGCAAGTTGTCCTCTATTAGATTGACTATACAAGTAGATCCTCGGGGGTTTCAAGGAAACTTATTTTTCATTATTTAATACAGCAGTGTAACTGCAGTTCTCTGGGCACCTTGCTGCTTAAGTCATTGCCAACTGCGCACTAATCAAGTTGCCCTTAGTACAGAAGCATGTAGCCGGTAATAACATACAGGCAGCTAGGTGCACTGAAAACAGCTTAAGGCAGAGCTGGAAATGAGTGAAACAGCAAGATGTCCTTAGAGCCTGTGGATGCAGCACAGTTTTAATAATGACAGGGGAACATGGAGGCAGAGCTATGCTGCAAGATACAGTAAAATTCAAGACTGAGGAAGAAGAGTTTGACATAACGGTCAACGGGTACATTAGTGGAAAAAAAATGCAAAAGCTAATGACACATTGGTTAATACAACTGCAACATCATTGCTAGTGCTATTACTAAGCTATTAAATTGTATTCTGCTAACAGATTAGAGCAACTGTATTGTGTTTCAAAAGGCATGACAGCTCCTACCGCAGTGAAGAGCTTACTTCTGACTGAATCACTGTTGACCCAGTAATATTGCTGTAATTGCTCCTCTTTCATGTACTGGACTTTGTAAATCATCCATGCATTTTTTCTCCTAAAGACAGGTTCAAAGGTCACAAAAGAGTTATTAATCTGAATGCTCGAAAAGTGGTTCGATTTTCACCAGAGAAATTTATATTAATTTCATTATTTTGCTGTTTCTACTACGTCAGCTATTCACTTAATACCTCTTGCTGTATTAGGCCACTAAGACAAGTGTTACTGATCAATAATCAGTGCTGCTTTACGGCAGGATTGGATTTATAACATTTTTACATCAACACAATGAAGTAAGGTACCTTCATTTCATTCATTTGTTAAGAGCCTTAACGTAGCTGATATTTAATTGTTTTAGAATACCTCCTCAAAACATCCTTTGTTTTACAGAAATCATACATCTTTTGATATTATTGATCCTCATACTTTGTAAGTCACCGAAAATTGAACATATCATTAAATCATCGAGGCCATGAAGTCAAGCTCAGCCGCAATCCACAAAGATCAGCTGCTCTAAGAGAAGTCCACATCAGCTGATGGATGGATAGCTTTTACTCTTTTACACATCCATCACGCAAATCTTATACAGTGATTGCCATTTGTGTACCAATGTTCATTCATAGAAAGGCAGGGAGGTTCCACCCATGCTGCTAGATAGATATTACTGCAGACAATAGTTATCTGCAGATAATCTTCTTACTGAATGTAAATCAAAGACAATTAATGTAAGCTGTTGCGTGCAAGAATTCCAAATAATACTAAATAAAAGGTGTGTACTGATATGTACAACTGACAATTTGTTATGATCAGGAAATGGTTTAATAGTTTATTTCCCTCAAAATCCCTGAAAACAGATAAAAACAATAAAATTAAAACATGTGCAGAACAGGGAAAAAATCTGTTGTGTCTAAGTAAGTTAAATGAACAGGGCTTCTTAGTTGTTTTCATAACCATGTGTGTTTGCAGCTTCTTCCAAAAAGTATTACACTCTGTAATGTTGAATTTCTATTGCATAGATTGGATGTAATAGTCCCTTTTTCAAAGATCGTCAGTTTGATTTTTCCATCAGTGCCTCCAACAACAGGGTGTTATTTGCAGTCAGTGAGAGGGTCATTTAAAATGGCAAAAATAAATAAATAAATACAAATAAAAAAACACTGACCTGACTCTTCAAATTCTTGGTTAGCCATGTTCCAGGAATCTCGGATTTGCAGCAAACTAGCTTCCATAGCCCTCAGTTCCACCTCGGGGCAATTACACTGTGGATAGTCGACGGCACACTGGCACCAGCAGTCGTTGTTTCGGCACACAAACTGGCCCTCCTCATTACAGCCAATGTAGCTAAGAGCTGCTTGCACAAACCTGGCCCTCAGATACTCTGGCAGAATGGCCTGGAGGCCTAAGGCAAGGACAAAAACAGGGCACAAACATGGAAATGTCACATGGATGAATGAAGTGGGAGCTGTAAGCACTTTAGGTACTGCAAAAACTGTGTTTAGATAGCTTTTCTATGGTAGATCTGTAAATCACTGAAGACCAGCTCTCATTTTCTTTCTTTTTTTTCCTCTCCCATGCTTGACATACACTTGGCATCAGATGCAATATGCTGAGATTCAGTTTAAGTTTTATTTTTACTGTGTAGTTCTGCTACTTTTGTTCTGAATCATTACTGTCCAGGATTCACTTCAGAAGTCTGCAAGCAATGCATGGCTAAAAAAAAAAAGCAAAAAAAGCAAAAGAGTGATTGAAGCTAAATTCATTCTGACACTCTCGTGTTGCAGTTATAGGCCTGCCAGAGAACAGACACTGTGACAATTCCATCAGAAATTGGGGGAGTTCAATTATGGATGGCCAACCTTGCAAATGAATCTTGTTTTCAGGGCTCTGAACCAAAACGGAGCTGACAGAGTCGAGGTTGTCATAGTTACTGCATCCAAGAGGACCCGTCCTTGTTTCGGTCACCTAAAGGGAGGAAAACAGAGGGGCATAACAGCAATTCATACTGTGAAAGTAACTCTCTAATGGCATTAAATATACAAACACATACAGAGAGTGAGCTATGACAAAGGAGGATGGAAGCGAACGCAGATCATGCAGAATAAGATTAACAGTCATTCCCTCTACATCTCCTCTTCTGAGAAACACTAAATATATTACAGATTATTTAGACTTCTCCATTGAGCAAATCATATTTAGGATAATGACTCTGTGAGCCAGTGAGCTGGAAATTGAGTTGTGATCGGGTCCGCAGCGTAAGGCGTAATGAGTAAGTTGGGGTGTCATCTGTCAAATTCATCTCTACATTGTGTTTACCCAGTATAATACCCACTGACACCAATAACATGCTAAAATGCATTGTAAGCCCGTGTAAGCATGTCATCTTCAATTATACACCTGAGGGTTTGTGTAATTGCTTGGTTCAAACTTTTACAGGAGGCATGCAATATTGTTCCAAGACTACGTAGGTTGAAATATGATGAGAGGATTGGCAGCATACTCATCGCGGTAAACAGTGAAGCCATTTTTCAGACTCGATGATGACAGATTCATTTTTACATGTTAATGTTTTACTGCAAAATGACGGATACAAATACACATTAGACCAGTTGCAGTCGGAGGAATGATTTGGTAATCCCATAAATCCTCACAACAGTTCTATTTCTGACGAAACTAAGCAGCACACCAGAGGCTCTGTGCGACTGCAGGAACAAAGGAGCACTTTGAAGTGAATCAGCTTCCTCGCATGTTCGTGCTAACACGCTCGCCGGGTATAATGTTCAACCGTTTCATTTTTGCATGCTAACAGTAGCTAATTAGCGCTAAAAACAAAAGATCCTTAGCTTTCCAGATATATGATTCACGGTGTAGTCACATAATAAAATCCTGTGGTGTACCTCTCATCATAGAACAGACAGTATTTAACATAGACAAACACACAATAAATAAATAGAGAATTTTTTTATACAATAAGATATATAACAGGCAAACAATTTAAAAAAAAATGTTGTAAAGTGCAGTTGTCTGCAGCATGTCCTCAGCTCTTTTAAGGCATGACTGGTGGTTTTTGCAAAACTTTTGCGAGATCTCGCAAAACAAACTCGGGATCTCGCAAAACTTTTGCGAGATCTCGGAAAACTAACTCGGGAGGTCGCAAAAGTTAAATTCCAACAATGGCGGCAGCTACTTAGTTGTAATATTACTCTTTCTGGGTCACAAAATAAACTTTTAAGATATTTTGAGGCGTGAATGTAGTTGTGTAAATGTCAAATATCTGCTCGGTTTACAAGACATCACATATTTGCAAAAGTGCTGCGACGTTTTCGGAGATCTGACACCCACCATCTCAAAGCTAACAGGAGGTCGAGACCTACTACAGCCGGGAGGAACATCGCTCTCCCGGCACATCGTGCCTCGACCTCCCGGTCGTCTTCGAGCTGGCGGCCTCCGAAGAATGCGGCTAAAAGTTTTGCGAGATCCCGAGTTTGTTTTGCGAGATCTCGCAAAAGTCTGTCGTAATTTTTTTTCCTCCCATGTCCCTTCCGGGGCTCCGTAACAAACAGTTAATTTACTGGAAGGGTTAAGTCCGCAGCAACGCAGCTGGCCTTCTCCTGAACACGGTCAGCATACACTGAGTCTAGGTTTAGGAGAGGACTACCCACAATCCCATGTGCTGTTTTCACTCCCTGGTCCAAGTCCTTCCTGTCCTATTTTGTGTAGCTGTTATTTGCTTAGTGTCATAATGGTGGTAAATTAATACATATCTGGGATCAAAATATATTTACTTTGTATGTGTATTTCATCATCAACATGAACATTAAAATGGCGTGACAAAATGATGAGGCAATTAGAACTAAGAGCAAGTGTGACTGACTGAATATAAAAGCATAGTATAAAGCCATATTGGACTGACTTCATTTTACACTGGCTCTTATGGTAGGCTCTTAGTCTAAATGATGTTCTATATGACTGTTTGTCATTATGTCCCAGAAGGTGATGGTATTATAGTTCTAAAGAAATCTCATTTGTGACAGGCACATCTGTGACATACATTTTAAAGATACAGTTAAGGAACTGACTAACTACTGTACAACCTGGGAAAAAGCACTGAATTTGTACAAAATCTGCACAATTTTGGAAAACTAACCAGGGTGAGAGCCATCCAAAGATATTCCAAAGATATTTCTGCTTGCTTGTTTGGCTGAACCATCTAGATTTTCCACTAATTTAGCATTTGTCTATATCTAAAATCATTAATTATTTTAGTCATTAGTGCACAAAACCCAGTGGCATGTCACGGCAAATCCCTTGTTTTCGATGTTTTCTGTGGTGACAAACAGCTTTCGAGCTGTGTGGTGTTTCTAAATTTTCCGTCTTTGAGGCAAACAGCCCATATGGAAAAGAAATAGTAAAAACATTAGGGATGCAACGATACCAATTTTTTCAAACCGATACGATACCGATACTTGGATCTGAGTACTTGCCGATA